GGAAATCTACATTAGAATGTTATGAAAATATCGTTTCGCTCGCTATTGCGCGCTATTGTTACTGCATAATGTACAATTATTATTTGACAGATATTAAAATTAATATAAACACGTATTGAGCACCGTAAATATTACGTTTATCGAATGCAAATAAATGTATTATAGTAAATACATTAAGAGTTACATAATGAACGCACATGTATACATATACATAATTTTTTTACGTTTTTATACAAGTTAAACATCTCTCTTTATCTTCCATTTTTGTTTTCTACTTTATTTAAAGACGAAATCAGGAAGAGAGAATTAATTATACTCTAGTTAACTACTAGCAGTTTAATTCTTTAATTGTAAAGCACATTACGAATGTACGACGTTGCGTGTACAATATTGCTCATGTAGATTCTAATTCTGTAGAAAAGCCTAAGTTATTGTTGCAATTGCATATCATTGTGGCGTAATGCTATTATGATACAGCAAGATTAAAGTATTATGATAAGATAAAGCAAAACGTGGCCGAATTCACATACTGGATTTATCCATCAATTTTTTTCGATTATCAGTCGGTAATATCTATAAATGCGAGATCACGCATTCCTGTAAAAACAGCCAATGTCGTAATAAAATATCAATATACAGCAGTTATATTTATAGATCTTCGCAGTTTCCGATAAATTCAAGCAATAATCCTCAACAATCCGTACAATCCTCAATGTTATTTTCGCTCAATTACATAAGCTACTTTAATTGTAGAATTTATAAACGCATATATAAACATTGATACAATCGGATTCTCACGAATTTAATTATCTATATCTTAATATGCATGATTATTACTCTGAATTATTTATAATTTTGTTATCAAAAATCTAGTTCGAATTTTACAACGATTAATGTTGACATGTTTATTTCATATTAATTAGACAATCTATTTATTTTCTCTCTCTCTCTCTCTCTTTATTATCTCGTATGAATAATTTATGACTGCTGAATAAATTAATCTATTCATTCTTTATAGCTGCATTTTATTGCTTTTTGTATGTAAAATAAAGTTTTCGAAGAAAAAAGAAGAAACAACAATCTGCTGGAAAAATGTGCGATTAAGCAGACTTAGTAATAAGATAATAATTCTATGTATCGTATCAGAGGATAATAAACATGATTTTCACTAATATGTAAAAGGGAATAATTCTGTTTTCGATATTAATAAATATATTTTAATTCTATATAAAAAATATCAAATAAATTATAAATGTCGCAAAAATTCAATATAATGAAAAACAACATACGAATTGAATTTATTCTATAAATATAAAAAGGAATGCCGATTCTCCTCGGAGCAAGCCTCCGAGGAATCGGCATTCCTATATTCCAGAGAACGTCTCCGACGCGGTACATGACCCCGATGCAGGTCGTATGACGTAATTAGGGATACAGAAACAATGCACGCCTTTACCACCGCCGCGCGTTCTATTAATGTCGCTTAATCTACGAGCCCAATAATTGGACCGAATATTATATTGCCTTATAAACGTCGCTATCCATCCGACATGAATTCAACCGACCGCGCAATTTCATTTTAATATATCCTCATGTTTTAGTCATAAATATGACTGCCGTATGATTAATTTATTAGTTCATTTCAATTGATAGCGTAATAATACAATTATTACTCGATTCTTTTAAATGTCGATAGTGTTCAATTGAATTGCTAATTTGAGAGAAATCAGGTTCACTAGTTTTCTAGTATCATAAAAACTCCCGGAGGAATTAAAGAAGGCATCCTTGCTTCGTAGCACTTTTACACTTATAGAAGAAATTCAATTCAATGTTGTTTTTTATAATATTGCATTTTGGCGATATTTATATTTGATTTGATATTTTTTACATTTTGTACTGTATACAGTATTAATTTATATTTATTAATATCGAAAACTGGGAATTATTCTCTTTTACATATGTCAGTGAAAATCATGTTTTTATTTCATGTTTATTATCCATACAAAGAATGAGATTTAAAAATACGCGAAACGCACCATTCATTTTGCTTACGTTTTTCCATACGCAGAGAAAACATAATTGCTCGTCTATACGTGAACAATCGTACATCGTGCGCAATGACTGGCGACAATAACAGAATCAATAGCACACATCGTGTTTCAATAAATTAATGCCACGCGTTTTATTTCCGCCACTCTCCGCGTTGTATGTTCAGGCTATATTAAAACAACATGCTGCTGCAGGTATTTACAGTGAAACGCCAGTTTTCAAGTAATTCTTCCTAATTGCCAGAGCGGCATAGCCGAGGGATTAAAATGCACGGTGCGTGGCGGGATAGTTAATGCCATACAAACGAAATAAAACTTTCCTTCTTGGATTTATTGTTTTGATAGAATAATTCGTATAATGTAAAACTACCTATCGTAAAATGTCGAAAAAAAATGAAAAAATAAAAAAAAAGACTTTTAATCTCTGAAATTTTAATCCGAAATAAATTGATATTTACAATGATTTTATTTTTCATTTTAATATTACAATTATATATTTAACTGTAAAGTTTACATCACGCGTGACGCAAAATATGTATTATGCGAAGTCAAAAACAATGAGTTAAGAGGGAACGTACCCTCGTCATCGAGAATTAAAGTAAAAGGGCAAATGGTGCAGTGGGACGCGCGGTATTAAAGAGGCCGGGGTGTCGGAAGGGGAATGATTAATCGTCGAGCAATCTCTCCTACGCGTTCGTAAAAAAGAAAAAAAGAAAAAAATACACATAGGTGAACAACTAATGATGTGACATGTTTATGAAATAAATCACATAAAATTGATCTACAGTATTTATTTCTTGACTAATATGACACTTATTATATATAAGGCATAAAAATTCACGAACGAAGTGTCCAAAGAAAAGTATATAATATTTTGAAATGGATAATTTCAATAAAAATCTGTGTAATTATATTTGCCATTCTATTAATTAATATAAAAAGAATATTTTAAATGTATAAACAATATAAAATTATCTCTTATACATATTAATTCAAAATGGGATTATTGTATTTTAAGAATACTATAACACTGAATAAAAAAAACAAAAAATCTTGGATTTATAAATGTTGACTCATATAATTACACATGAAGCTTGATAAAAAAATACTTGGATTTTCTGACTTATATATTTTATGTATATATTTTAAAAAATGAATGAAAGATAAAGCATTTGCAGAAGAATGTAAATCTGTTTTTAAACATCTCCGTAGAAACATGAAATTAATATATTCTCTTCTTTAATAAAAGATATGTATTTTTTATATATTTATTGTTTTTTATATATCACAATAAAAAATATATAATTTAAATTAAATAATATTTATTTGCAGTTTTTAGAATGAATATTTTTTTATGTATTTTCGAATTACATCATGTATATTAGAAAATATATATATATATATATAATTATATAACAGATAAGAAAAGCCAACATGTGATATAATTTTAATAAAATGAAATTTTTATAAAATAGAAACAATAATACATGCAAATTTCTGCGTATAAATTTTTTTATCATAAAAATAATTTGATAATATTATTATTTGCAAAAATAATGTACTTTCTGAAGATAAAATATATTGCACAATATAAAAGAATATATATATATATATATATATATATATATATATATATATGTATCATGTTTCTCCTTAATATCCTTATAATATTGGACTTGAGTTTTCTTTAACAAGCAAACCTAAGTACAATATCATATGAAAAGATCATCCTTTTCTGATGCACGTCTAATTATAATATAATAATATGATATCCATTTAGATGCTTTATAATGCACAAATAAAAAACATACAACATGTGAAGAGAAATGATAAAAGTACAAACTCAGTAAATATTAATTTCCCTCTCTTTCATGTCTTTAAATAAATTTTGGCAATAAATGAAATTTGAAACTTTAAAAAATAAAAAAATTCATAAATATTCTAATTAAAAATAAAAAATTTAACTTTACATAACAAACTTAAATTTGCGAGGAAAAATGTTATGCATCCACTGAATTTTTAATCTATACATAATTAACAAGTGTATTTTTTAAAATTGTTTTTCTATATATTCATGGAAGTATACGAGACATTGTGGAAAATTTAATGACACACACATCCAAGTATAAAAACTTATGGTCCCAACAAGAATCTTATTTTACATTTTCATAAACATGTCAATGAAAAGATTACATGCCTTCATATCTCAATATATCTAATCAACATGGACAAATACGAAAGTTTTGCGTGTTTATAAACGCATAGAGAAGAGATTACACCGCAAGACATCTCAAATGTGCATAATCAACATAAACGAGCGCAAAATGCTGCTCTGTCCATCCATAAATACGCAAGTAGGAAATTTGCATTGATCGAAATCTCAATATGTTTAATCAACATTATTCAAATGACGGTTGTTACATATAACCACGGATATTACATTTCTGAAATGTGAACCTAATCTAAATAACACTAGAGTGAAATGCATAAACATTGTACATTTCTAAATTTCAAAACAAATTCATGAATACCTGTCATCACACGAGCCCGAGGAAAAAGTTACGTTGCCTAGAGAATCACAACGTCTCAACATATTGTTCTCGCGTATAAACGCCACTTGCGTACTCGTGGATATGACGACAAGAGATTACAACACCACGAGATTCCACATATGTATAATCAACCTTGACAAGCATGAGAATCTGCCATTGTGCGCATCCACGAAAGATGGATCACCGCGCGTCATTTCAATGTTCATTCGATGCTTCGAATCGGAGCACGACATCGGATACACGGAGGAGGAAAGAGAGGTTACGTGGATGCTCACGGGCACTCGTGCTGCCCGGGTGACGGGAAGCGCGCTCGCGCTCGCGTGCGCGCGCGCGCGCGCGGGCGCGAGCGAACGGACATCGGGAGATGCGATACGCGTGCGATACGTATATGCGTACTTACCGTGTGGCTACCATAGGGCCTAGGAAGGGTAATATTGCTGCCGGAGGTAGGGGTAGACACGGTGGTGGCGAGCCGCTGTGCTGTGTCCGCGCGACGAAGACGATGCGTAGACATGAGGCGGCACGGGACGCACCTCGTAGACTATGTCGCTCGTCGTACACACAGGTACCGCGCCGCACGCACTACGTTCACGCGCCGTCATCCGGCGATGGTGATTTAAAGCGGAGATGCGACGAAGGGACCGAGGGAAAAAAAACAAACTCGAGGGGTGACCCGGACTCGCGGCGACCTCGCAACACGCACGCATGCATGCACGACACCCTGATGGAGAGAGAGAGAGAGGATGATACACATACACGCGCGCGCACTCTCGTCGCCGGATATTCGTCGCGAGAATCTCCGGGAGGAAGCCGCACCAGGAAGGCGACGACGATGATGACGATGACGGCGGCGGCAGCGGTGGCGGATTAATATGGCCGTCCCTCGGTTGACACGGAGGCTCGGGTCGCGCGTAAAAGCGAGCGGCTGCAATAACGGTGACGACGGTTGCTCGTTGCCGCTAGCGCAACGGTAAGATGGCACGACGACGCAACGGCAACGCACAGCACTGGCAGTCTCGTCGTGGCACGCGCACGCATTTGTTTCACTCGCGGAGAAATCACCACGCACCACTCGCGATCACGATGACTCGGCTCAGCGCGACGCGAGACGTATCGCTCTCTCGTTCTCGCTCCTCTCTCTCTCTTCCTCGCGCTTTCTCTCTCTCTCTCTCTCTCTTTCTCGCCGGAGATTTTTTTCCACGCGCGGCCCGATGATGCTTCCGTCCGCTCGTTTCCGCACCGATTCCCTCTCGCGCACGTTCGGATCCTCCTCGCCGGTGAAGCGCGATCTCTTGTTTTCCTAACGTTAAACGTGCGCTTGATCGTTTTCGAGAGCTCACTAGCGATGGACACGTCGAATTTTCGGAACACTCGTTTCGTGTTTCTCTCTCTCTCTCTCTCTTTTTAGCTGGCTGTCCGTCTCTGTTTTTTTCTCCCTTCACTCTCGGCCCCCCTGGCCGCTCTGTCGTCGGCCACTGTCGGGCGCACCGATGGAACGAGATACCGTGCACGAGTAGCAGGAATCCACCGCACTCGATGGACGAACAGGCACCACCTTCACTCGCGTTATCGCACTCTCGTCCGTTCGTCGCCCGCGACGATGCTCGATGCACGACACGGTCCACACGACGCACGCGGACCCACACACGCACGCACGTTTACCTTTACGCTGCGCGAGGACGTGACGCGACCTCGGTACGAACGACAACGTCAACATCTCCACCGTACGCTTTCGTGGCGGCCATCTTTGTCGGAGATACGATGGCGAAACGCGGAACGAGGAACGCATGCGCATACATGGGTGTATGTGCGCGAGGGCGCTGCGCGCGATAACGAGAATGACACGCAGGGCTGTCACGAGCGTGGAGCGTGGCGACGCAAAAATATGTACGAAATAAATATGTATAAAAAATACGTATGAAATATACGACAACATATACAAAGCCCTTTCTCGTAAATCAATAAAATAATTATTATTGACGTGCAATTTATGTTGTTTCTTGTTATATCGTTTTTATAAAAATATAATTTGAACTCGAGGGAATCCAATTTTCCTATTTTTCTTAAAATTCCCCACGAAATTTTAAATCTTATATATACGTCACATAATTCTACATTTATATAAATTAAGTTGGTAAATTACGGAAAACCTTGTGTACAGCTGATCGTTCTTGATGCATCCCTGGAGGCACCGTACACACGCGCGTGTCACGTACGCGGACGTTGTGAAAGCACGCGATACCGGCTGGGATTTGCGAAGAGAGGGCGAAATGTGTGTACGCACAAGTGCACACGCACACACGTAACTGAGAGCGGCCATGCCAGTTGATGCCAGTCTGGTTGACCGAGCAATCTTGACAAAGGGAACGTGGAACCGGACCACCGACCGTCGTTCCGCGCGTTCAACGGGGAATTGTGGCGCTGCGTTTGTCTGTCTCGTGACCAATTGTATCGCTGGTAATGAAGGATTTACGCAACGAAACGTACACTTATTAATAAAAATTTTTAAATCATTCTGTACACAATTGTATCATTATTTATGTCAAAAATCAGTCAATCTATAAAATTAAAAAATTTCAAGCTAATTGTAAATTAAGGAGATTAGATGTATTTTTTAAATTGGTAATATGAGAAAAAAATTAATTTTAAACCCTATTTTCATCATATTAAAAATATAAATATATCATTATATATATCACAATCATAAATCATATCCCTTTTTTTGGTAAAAACATTTTTCTCGAAAGACATATGATATTTGTATGCATTGTAAAAATTGAAAAGATAATGAAAACTGATAAGATTTTTATTTGTTGTCAACGAGAGACAGTGGTTGACATGGATGATAAATGCAGATCTCTGGAAATATTTATCTTTTCATTATCTTTTTATTAAAAAAGTTATTTAGAAAATTATATTTTCTAGTTTTTAAAATGTTGAATTTATATTAAACTTATTAATATATTTTTTCATCTTTTGTTATTATATTCGGACTTTTCTTAGAGAGTTGTCTTCTAAATTTGTATATATAATTAATTTAAATTTTTAAATATAATTAATTTATTATTGCATTTTAAATATAATTAATTTAATTATTGCATGAAATTATTACCGTCACATAAAAGGGATTATTTGACATTCATAATTGTACTTAATATAACACACACACATATACATATATATATATATATATATATATATATATATATATATAATGTTAAAGAGAGACATGTTATTTTGTATAAGCACATTACTGAATTTAATAATATATAATATATATATATAATAATATATATTTAAAAATTTTTTTATAACAACTTTAATATCTCTTTTTTTTCTCTTTTTCTTTGGGAGTGTTGAATGGAATGTACAGTAGAAATAAAAAAAAATAGAATTAATCTGTGAAGATATTTTTATTTCCATTTGATGCTTTATAAGAGTAGTCCCAAAAATATTTTAATATTTCACTCTCGCTTGTGATTTGCAACAAATGTAAACGCATTTTTATACATGAAACATTAAATACATGTCAAATATAAAATTTCTTTAAGAAATAAATTTTTTTATATATTATACAAAAGTATTGTATAGACTTGCTTATAAAATATTTTTTTCTCATATATAAATTTTAAATATACTTTTATATATCTGCTTACAAAATATTAATTTTTTTCTCATATATAAATTTTAAATATATCTTTTGTATTCGATAGAATGGATCTTATTAATGGATCTTAGAAATAAATGCTTTTGCTGATTATACATACATTTGATATATTTTACCTTTTAGAACAAGGTTTGTGTAAAACTACTTAATTTTATTATTAGATTTTATTGTAGATATTTATAATAAAAATTGAAAAATTGAGCTTTATTAAAATTATCAGTTGAATGTATATATAATCATTGCTTTGTATGTTATAGGCATCTTACAGAAGATGGAATGTTTTATCACGTTACTCCATCAATGAGATTTGTGCTTTCAGAAAATAGAATATTATTTGTACATTTGTGTAGTTCTTCGCTGATCTAGCCAGCGATCTTCAGTTGCAGAATTAATATTTTACAATTTCCTGCACCGCTGTGACAATGTTATGGGCACTAATACCATAACTTTCGAGTAGCACTGTTGGAGGACCGGAACGTGGTACATTCGGCACCGCCAGCTTTTTCACTATTATATTTCTCTCCAAAGCGACAGCGGATTGGACCGCCTCTCCTAAACCTCCCTGCGGATAATGATCCTCGACGGTGATAATTCTGCCGCCAACCTCCTTTGCGTTCTTTATTATTGTTTGCGCATCAATGGGTTTGATTGTAAATGGATCGATAACGCGGATATTGACTCCATTTTTAGCCAATTCATCAGCAGCTTTAATTGCCTCGTGCAATGTCACACCGGCTCCGATCACAAGTACCTGATCATTCGCAGAAGACTTGATTATCTTAGCTTTACCAATGATCAGGGGTTCGTCATTCTTGTACAAAACGGCCGTAGCTGGGCGAGAAGTACGGATGAAACAGATGCCCTTGGTATTAGCTGCCAATTCCACGGCACGTTCCGTCGATACGGCATCGCTTGGATAAAAAATAGTTGAACCCGGGATCGCGCGAAACATTGCGATATCCTCCAAGCCCATCTGCGAAGGTCCATCTTCACCGATAGATACGCCACAATGCGAACCGACAAAGTTCACATTCGTCTGAGATATCGCACCCATACGGATCTGTAACATAAATTACGTTATATCTATATCTTTGTTTATGTTATTTTTTCATAATATGGTTTGTGCTTTACCTGATCGAAGGCACGCGTGAAGAATGTCGCAAAAGCGGACACAAACGCAATGGTACGATCTCTGCAAGCGGCACCGATCGCAACTCCCACGACATTCTGTTCGGCAATAAAACCTTCGATAAATCTAGTTGGGTCAACCGCCTTAATTTTGTCAGCATAAGTGGAATTCTTTGTATCACCATCTAAAGCTATAACACGAGGATTACTCTTCGCTAACTGAAAAAAATAATTGAAATGATTAAAAGATACATCTTGTATTTTAATGATAAACGTTGATATTAAAAGCTTACAAACCTTTGCAAGGCCTGTTCCATAAGCCAATCTGGTAGCTACTTGTTCACCTAATTTGTAATTTGGAGGTGAAGCTAATGTAATATTACTGATATTCACATTGGGTGCATCATCTACAAGTGGCTTTTGCGGATGCAACGCAGGAGGGCCAGGATTTTTCAAAAGTCCATTCAGATGCTGTATAGTTAAAAAAGTTGTATTAAAACTTAAAAAAATTATCTTATTAAATCCTCATAATGATAATTATTAATATTATAATAATAATGTACCTGAATAACTATATAATACTGTATAATAATAACTATATAATAATTATATAAACTGAATAATATAATATGTACCTGAATAACTTCATTTGCTTTATTACCCAAAGGTTTGCCATGCCAGTTTTCTAAATCTTCAATTTCCGGAAAGTATTTGCCTTTAAACGTTTTAGCTAAGATGGCAGTGGGACGTCCTTTTGTATTATGTGCTTCATGGAAGGCCTAAAATATATTATGTTTGCTAAATATTTCAATTTGCTTCGTGTAACTATAAAATTTACCTTAGCTAATTCTTCCACATCGTGACCATCCACAACTAAAGCATTGAAACCGAAGGCTTCTAATCTTTTGCGATAAACTTCCATATTGTGCTGCAACGAGGTTGGCTCGCTCTGTCCAAGACGATTGATGTCGAAAATGGCACAAAGATTATCTAACTTGTAGTAGGACGAAAAGTGAAGGGCTTCCCAGATGGAACCTTCTGCCGCTTCTCCATCGCCAATCAAACAGTATACACTAAAAGTAAATAATATATATTTTAATGAATATATATTAATTTTAGTAAATAAATTATATTGTATGAGATTTAAGAGTTGTTCGAATCTTCAGTATTTAGTTACATCTCTTTTTCTTTTACATACGTAAATATCATATATTATAGCTTATAGATAAAAGCGCTATAAGTTATTAGATATTATATATAGTTATTTAATAACCATACCGATAACTGGCCTTATCATAATTCTTTCCGACATAGGCCATGCCTGCAGCAACCGAGAGACCTTGTCCTAGTGAACCGGTTCCTACATCTACAAAATTAAGCCTCGGGGTAGGATGTCCTTCTAGATCGCTATCAAATTTTCTCAAATTCAATAACTCGCTGGATGGGAATAAGCCTGCTTCCGCCCATGCTGTAATAAAATATACAATAAAATATAAACATTAAGTATATTATAAAATAGTTTATTATATCAAAGATATATCAAGAAGTATTTACTAAAAAATTTTAATGACATTTTACAATAATAATAAATTTATAATAACTAATGTTACTGAATTTTTAAAAATCACATTTAATTTGATTAAAATATATTAAAATATTTAATTATTAATAACATATTTAATAATTTATCTAATTATATAAAAATATTTAATTATATTATATTAAAATTTATTTAATTATATTAATATATTAATATTAATATATTTAATTAATAATAATATATTTAATAATATATTTAATATATTCAACTAATGATTAAATATATCAAATTAATATTCATAAATATAATTGATTGGAAATCAATTTACCTGCATAGAGAATTGGAGCTGCATGGCCTTTACTGAGAACAAATCTATCACTACTTGGATCACGTGGTGCTGAGACTTTGTAACGCATTGTATGGAAGAAAAGAACAGACATAATTTCCGCCATTGATGAACATGATGTTGGATGCCTAAATGATAAATAAAAAATATATAATACAAATAAATTGTATGTATAGAGAAAGAAAGAAGGGATAGAGAAAATAAAATAAACATATAATGAATAATTTAAAACTTACATATAATATTAATATTAATTAAAACTTAAATTAATATTAATTAAAACTTAAATTTAAAACTTAAATATTTCAATTTTTTAATAATAAAATATTTTAATTAACGTTGCTTTGTTTTTAAGAAATTATTTTGTGCGCAATAATTCTGTTTATGTGGTCGAATAATATAATCGAATGAATGTTTTTCTAAAATTATTTACTATCGTGGCAAGGTCAGAATATCAAAGAGTATTATCAAAATATCATATCTTTGATGACCTTTGATGAAAGTCAAAGACATTATGATATCTAAAATAGTGATAAACATTTTCCTTATATAATGTATTACAAAATATATTTTCTAATCTTATTTGTTATAATTTCGTTTAAATGTGATTAACCATGTCTAATGAAACACTTTTAATTTATTTAAAAAATTTTTCTTCTTTAGAAATTATAATAAGAGAACAAAGAGAATTTGATAACAATTTATTACACATGTATAAATAAGATAGAATGTTTTATAATGTATATATTTTGTTTACTGAGATATTTCTGGAACTTGCCAGGTTGCAGAAAAATCGATTCTAGATTGATTGAAAAACGTTTTAAATGTTGATAATGATATTACATGATAATATTACATTTCGATAATATAACTTGTTTAATGCGGCTTAATAACACAATATTATCAAATATTAAAGATAAATTCGGGAGATTTGACGTTTACGGAGATGATATCCAGTTTAATGATTAATTATAATAATGATAATTATAAGCGTACCCGCTTTTTGAAGCTTCTGTTGCTCGCACACACTCGATACGTAGAGTATGGGCGATATCTTGGAGTTTTTCTATGCTTGTGTTTCGCACCATAGCGAACTAAATTATATTCACGTCTTTCTCTCTTGAAACTCTGTCGTCGACAACGAACGTTCGATCGCAACTGCCAACGAGAAGAGTTTCGGCAAACGAATCGACTGTGCGGATATCTCCCTACCTCTTCGACGCAATGACGATGCGTGTATAAAGGGTGTCCCGAAAGTTAACATATAACAAATAAAACGAAAAATCAGCGTCTTTTGATATTAAATTTTCCATGTTTTTCTATTCTGATATTTATTTTCATGACGTCAATTCTCTGTGATTTAAAATTGTCAATTTAAAAAAAAATACAAAAGTTTTATTTTTTCAAATTAACAAATTTTTCACATTTTAGATATTCACTCAGTAAGATAAATACAACTTTACATTACGTTAAAATGTTTGCCATACATAGTGTGCTTCTGCAATTTACATTTCTTCAGCAATTCAGATGTGTTTAATATTTTATAGTGTACACGTATCTTACGTAACGCGTTTTTTTATTATGTGCCTTTTTCATAAACAGAGAAATTAAATAATTTGATGATATTTATAGTAAATCCTAAATTTTTTACTTTTTTATATTACTTATAAAATTATGTTTTTTGCAAACTTATTGAGCAATTAGTATTTTACATATTTTGAGATATTGCCTTACCCCTTATAATTATTAAAATGTAATAAAATATCTAATAAAATTTGTCAATTTTTTTTATCAATATAGGCATTGTTCAAATTATGCGCGATAAAAAATGTTTGCTAATAAATTTGAACATGTATATTGTTATTACCATATTTTCTTCGCATGACCTCCACGTAATATAAGCGCATGATTCTTTTATTTTTGCATGCCAGTTTTTACAGTCGTCTGTATAAATTGAAAGATATCATAAAATGATAATTAAAATGAGAAAAAATGATTCTCCCATTACATTAAAAGTCGGTTCTCTTGAGATATACATAAACAATCATATTTTCTATGCTAGTATAAATGATTGAATGAGTTTAATATTTTACTAAGTTTATAATTAGAAATGTGTTTATTAAACTTAGCGCTGTGTAATAATTATATATAATTAGAGCAATCTAATATTTTTTTATATAGAATTTTGTATAGAATTTTATATAGAATTTTTATATAGAATTTTTTTATATAGAATTTTGTATGAAATAGTATACTGTATAAATTAATGAAATAATAAAAAACTTATTAATATAATAAAATTTCTTTAAACTTTGGCGAAATTGTAAAAACGCAAGTCACTGTATATATAAATAGCCCGAGTATCCATGTTGAAAGAGAAACTAATGAGCTAGCAATTTCTTAAATTAGATTGCTGTCATGGCACTTTAATAGCAGCGCGATAAAAAAAATATTATGTGAGTAAATTTTAATTTTTCCTTCCTTTTTTCCAGCCCTTTGTATAGTATAATCTAAAGTATATAACTAGGGAGAGATAGAGATAAGAAAAATATGTGTATGTGTGTGTGTGTGTATAAATAGATTATACATCTGACATACATAAATTCCTATTATAAATTAATAACACATAATATTTAAAAATAAGATAATAATAATAATAATAATAATAATATATATATATATATATATATATATATATATATATATACACGTATGTATATAGCGCGACTTTTTTATTTTTTATTACAAAATAAAAATTGAAATCGGTATATAAATGCAATAAATTTAATTATGTCTATATTGTTACAGAGAATAATTTACAATATTGTTCAATCGCGTTCTTTTTCGTTTCGAATAAATAGATATATAGAGATTATTTGTGTATGATAACAAAATATACATCTAAATTTAATAGATCGAAATTATAAATATTAATATTTATATGTGTATTTTAAAATTATTTTTTCCAAAAATGTTTTCATCCAATTTATCTTGTATATTTGAAAAACTTAATTTAAGATATCTACTTTTGTATAGAGAGAGTAATTTTTGATACAAACAAAATAATGCAGACAAAATAATTAAATATAAAGTCAACGATATCAAAAATCGAATGATCGAATTGAATGCTGAATCGACGATTGCATAATATTTGTATCTTGATCCCTATCAATTATGAATAATTATTACATTATATATAACTCGCGTGATGTTCTTATCAAGAATTGCGAGAATCAGGTCATAAACATGTATAAAAAGATATATATGTTTTGCTTGAATATTCCGTTTAATCTTTTTATAATCACATGTACGTGTTTCATTTAATTCTTATTATATTATTTTTTATTCTTTTATATTTTAATTTTTAGCTGCTTTTTTTTATAATTTTTCTTAATTTTAAAAGTCCTTTTTCAAAAGTCTGAAAGATGTTTATTGTACTCCAAAAAGTGTATAGTATCTAAAAGACATAATTTCTATTACGTCGATCAGTAATATCTGTATTCACGCGTGAATTTTCAATCTTGAAATTACATCATTATTGCATAATAAAATACGTTCTCGCTTATCATCATCCGACCGATAGTATTGCTGCTTATTAAGTAATCGCATTCCTCATTGTCGCCGGTTATAGCGGAAAAAAAACTTACCCAGATTTGCTGGCTTGCGTGGCCTCGATCGAATGAATTCTCAGCTTGTTCGCGATGTCCCGCAACTCTTGGATGGTCTTCAATTCCGGCTTATGGTAGTTCGCCATTTTTTTTATCCGCGTGCGTGCGTGCCTATGAAAATCTCGCAATTTTTCCGATGGCCTCCGCAAAAATGCAGCGAGCACGTGAACATGCAACAAGTAGATTCGCGCGAGCTGAGCGCGACCGACCGCGGCGCGATTGCAGTCGTGATGATCATAGAACAATAATTAATAGATTGCAGCAATAACTTCACACAATACCACATTAAAGGCTGTTTTACATGAAAAATCGAAATACAAAACATAATATAAGCACTTTGATGGTAAAAAGTAAATAATGTATATTCTACTAAATAACTAATATATTTATTATTGGCTCTTTAAAAATCAGTTCAAGATATTTATATTATATTTTTGCATTTAAATAGTTTCATGTATAACGGCTTTTAATATGCTCCAGTACAATCCGAGAGAAGGCTGAGAGGTGTCACGGTTTGTTTTCAGGTGATCTTTGAAAGTGATACTCCCTCTGTGGACATTAAAAACATGGATATGAACTACAAAGCCAAGGTTCACGAATATTCTCAGAAGGTAACACATGTATGTTACTTTCTTTTTAATATTCACAAAAGGCATATTGCTTTCAGAGATCAAGCCCATGACATCTCTCAGACTTCTCTCTGATAATATAAATAATATAAATAATATGAATAAAAATATACATAATTTAATTAATAATAATTTATTATGTAAAAATATTAGTGTGTTCTCTCTTTCTATCCTATTATTTATTTATGTGTCTTCTTTTTCTTCTCAACATCATTTATTTATTTATTTAGCTCACTATAAGTCAGTCTTTTAAAATGCAAAACTAAATATTATAGAATTTGACTTCGGAAAAATACGGAAAAATAATCGAATAAAGCCATATTAGCATAACGAAAAGTTCTGTGATCAATTGTTTAATAATTAATTTATAAAATAAAATATACCTCTATAATTTAAACCTCTATAATTTCACGTGTATATATAGTACGTAAAATATTTCAGAGAATTATCAATAATATCATGTTTGGTCTTAGCAACGTATAGCAAGCGCGTCATTATTTACATGGCCTTGTCATCATTCGCACAATAATATATATATATATATATATATATATATATATATATATATTACTGTGCGAATGATGACAAGGCCATGTAAATAATGACGCGCTTGCTATACGTTGCTCTCTATATATATATCATAATTATAAATGCAAATAATTAACATAACGAAAGACTTTGTGATAAATTGTTCAATAAATAATCAATTTTAATTAATAAATTAAAATACTTCTATAATTTAATATTTCGTTAGTGTATATTTTATAATATATAAAATATTTCGGCAATGAATTATCGATAACATAGTGTTTGACTTTGGCAAAATAAAATGTAAACTGTAGCGCGCTATGTTAAGGCTTTGTCATCATTCGCACGAGCAATGAAGTATTGGTGCGAAACGATTCGCATATTGCTGAATTTTTTTTCTAAGCACGATAAGTATCGAAATATAATTTGTTATAATTAAAAATTAATTAACTTTTGATAAACGACATGAAACTGTATCGCAATAAATTATCGCAAATAAATATTTATTGAATCGCAAACATTCACTTCGACCGTTGTGATCTTTACGAACAATAATTATTATTATAATACTTAGAGTAACATATAATTCATTCGTGCCATTTTTATTGTTCTACTTGACAATTTAAATATAATTTGGATTACGACAGAACACGAAGTAAAACAATCGAGTTATAGATGCAAATAATTAACAAGACGAAAGGCGGCATGACAAATTGTGTAATAACTAAATCAATTTTAATCAATAAATTAATACTTCTATAATTTCCTATAATATTCCACATTAGTGTATATTTTATAATATATAAAATATTTCGACAACGAGTCGATAACACGTTGTTCGCCTTTGGCGATCAACGTATCAATAAACGTATCATAATCAATAAATTAAAATACTCTATTAATTTATTGATTAAAATTTATTATTTATTAAACAAGTTATACACGGAGCCTTTCATTATGCTAATTATTTGCATCTATAATTCGACTGTTTTACTTCGTGATCTCGCATAATCCAAATTATATTTAGATTGTCAGGTAGATCAATAAAGTAACACGGATGAACTATATTTGTGACTCTAAGTATCAAAACAATAATTATTGTCCGTAAAAATCGCGCAACGATCGAAATGATTATTTAATATTTTGGTTTCCTGTCCCTTAATCGATTCTCGATAAAATTGTATAATATATTTCAGCAACGAATTATCGATACACGGCGTTCGAATTTGGCAATATAAAATATAAACAGTAGTGCCTTATACATTACCGCTTTGTCATCATTCGCACGGTGATTCTCGATCAATGAAGCAATGGTGAGAAACGCTTCGTATATTATAATTTTTTAACTAAACATAATTATGATTGGTATCGAAACATAATTTGCTATAAATATTAGTAATTAAATATTAATTTATTTTTGATAAATTACATAAAACTGTATCGCAACGATAAATCTTTACCGAATCGTAATCATTCATTACTAATAAAAATTAAGGCAGGGAATACATAAAAGGGAATAAGAGAATTAATTATATTATGATCTTTCGATCATTGATGCTAATTACAATAATATATCTTTAACAATATTAGAATTAATCATATTTAGACCAATATTTAAATTTTTTCAATCTTTGTTAATTAAACAATGTACAATTTAATCGAGAATTGATTAAATGATAGGAATCTAAAATGTTAAATAATCGCTCCGATCGTTGCGATCTTTACAATAATTATTATTTCAATACCTAGAGTCACAAATATAGTTCATCCGTGTTACTTTATCGTTCTACTTGAAAATCTAAAAATGATTTTTTTATGAAAGAACACAAAGTAAAATAATCGAATTATAGATGCAAATAATTAGCATAACGAAAGGCTCCATGATAAAGTGTTTAATAAATCAATTTTAATCACTAAATTAAAATATTTTATTAATTTAATATTCCGTTAGTGTATATTTTATAATATAAAATATGTCGGAAATTATCGATAACACGAATGTTCGATTTTGACAATATATAACGTAAACAGTAGCGCGCAAGGTTACGGCTTTGTCATCATTCGCACGGTGACTCTCGAGTAATATGGTAGTGGTGAGAAACGTTTTGTATATTGTACATAAACGTATACGAAATATAATTTGCTATAAGTATTAATAAATATTAATTAATTAAAAATTAATTAACGACATGAAACTGTATCGAGAATCGATTAAATGATAGGAATCCAAAATGTTAAATAATCACTTTGATCGTTGCGATCTTTACGGACAATAAATATTATTTCAATACTTAGAGTCACAAATATATTTTATTTCCGTGTTACTTTATCGTTCTACACAGTAAAAAATTTTGTGTTAAATTTAACATATTTCACATGTCCCAATTTATCCACTCTAATTTTAATGTTAATTTAACAGAAGGCAAGTATGTAAATAAATAACACAAGTAATATGTTTAAAAATTAACACAAAAGTGTAATACTTAAACTTTATCTGGAAATAAAGTTTATGTGAAATTAACATAACTATTTATAATGTTAAATTTAATTAAAAGAAAATGTTCTTCTTACATTTTTATGCAAAATAACAGAAGAGATATATCGATTTACAAACATATGGAAACTGTTATAGAGAGAAAAATAACACAACTTATCTGTTCATTTTAACATATAATATATTTCATCAAAAATTCGTACATTTACATATTTATTGTGTTGTTTTAACTCTTAGAAACGGTGAATATTAACTCAACGCAGAAATATCAAAATAATAATATGTTGATATGCAATGATAATATGTTACATTAACATAAGAGTATGTTAAAAATTTAACATAAAAATTTTTAGACGAGAAAATTTTAACAGAAATACAAAATGTTTTTTAACGTGTACTTGATAATCGAAATATAATTTAAATTGTGAGAGAACACGAAGTAAAACAATCGAATTATAAATGCAAATAATTAGCATAATGATATTATAAATTGTTTAATAAATAATCGATAAATTAAAATACTTTATTAATTTATATTTCGCGTTAATGTACATTTTATAATACATATATAAATTTTTATAATACATATATAAAATATTTCGACAACGAATTATCGATAACGCGGCGTTCGACTTTGGCAATATAAAATATAAACAGTAGCGTTCTATACGTTACCGCTTTGTCATCATTCGCTATGTGGCTCTCGAGTAATAAAGTAGTGGTAAGAAACGCTTCGTATACTGTAATTTTTTTTACTAAACACGATTACGATTAGTATCGAAATATAATTTGCTATAAAAATTAACAAAAATTAATTAATTAAAAATTAATTAACGACATGAAACTGTATCACAACGATAAATATTTATTAAATTGTAATCATTCACTACCGCGATTAAAAATTGAAAGGGGATATATAAAAGGGGATAAGAGAATTAAATATAATCTTCCGATCATCGATACTTATTATATTATTAGTTTAACAATATTAGAATTAAATATATTTCGATCAATGCTTTAAATTTTCTCCTTGTTAATTAAACAATATACAATTTAATCGAGAATCGATTAAATGATAGGGATCTAAAATATTAAATAATCATTTCGATAATTGTGATTTTTACGGATAATAATTATTATTTTAATATTTAGAATCACAAATATATTTCATCCGTGTTACTTTATCGTTCTACTTGATAATCTAAATATAATTTAGGATGTGAAAGAACGCGAAGTAAAACAATCGAATTATAGATGCACATAATTAGCATAACGAAAGGTTCCGTGATAAATTGTTTAGTATATAATCAATTTTAATTAGTAAATTAAAATATTTCATTAATATAATATTCTGCGTTAATGTATATTTTACAATTTATAAAATATTTTAGCAAATTATCCATATCACGGCCTTCGATTTTGGAAATATAAAATATAAACAGTAGCGCTCTATATGTTACCGCTTTGTCATCATTCCCACAGTGACTCTCGAGTAATAAAGTTGTGGTGAGAAACGCTTCGTATATTGTAATTTTTTTTGTTAAACACGTTTATGATTAGTCTTGAAACATAATTTG